CCCAAATACATTTTGTTGAAGTAAAAAGCATTAATGAACATCTTGACTTTTTACTTTATTCATGAATTTTTCTAGATCAGAATCATCAGGACTTCTCTCAGAAGTTGCTGATCGTCAACAGATTCCACCACTGCATCTACCTGTCACTTTTCAATTACAGCCTTAAATCAAGTCATGCATTTACTGTGATCAGAAGCAGGAAACAGCAGGTTTTAGTCAAGTCATTGACGGTTCGTGAGTAATTGAATTAAATTTGCCATGCTGTGTGTGGTACTGCCAAGTCTTGAACTGAGGCATATTCAGCCACTCTGGATCCCGTCCAGAGCCTCTGTGCTGGCTGCTTCCTGATGGCCTGTCTACAAGATGCAGAAAAATCTAAATGAAGTTCCTTTCCCTGAGAGATCTGCTGCTCTGACCTGCCCTGCTTCCACATCTCTCATCATGTGTTTGCTGTCAATCTCACCTGTTGCTTCTGCCCTCGCTGGCTCTCCCACAGCAGCATGTTGGCTGTTGTCCTCCTCCTCCTCCCCCACATCTCTCTCCTCATTAGCTGCAGCTCTCCCCTCCTGACCCCCTCTTGCTGCTTCAGCTGTGGTTAAAGCCTGGACATATCCTAAACAAATGACATGGATCCAATATCACACTAGTGGGACTGCTCAGCTTTCCCACGTGTGTTTTCTTAAATTTCTAGGTTCTCTGTTTCACTAATATCTCTGGTGCAGACTGAGACTTTACGCTTCCTCAGGATGAGTGTGTATTAACTTAAAGCTAGCCTTACTAGCTTGGCTCCTCACTGCTGATAACCTATCTGAAAAGCTGGGTCATTGGGAGATTGACAGTGTTGTGTTCATAACAGATTAATTTATACAACTCTGTCTACTAGTGTGTTTTATTACAACTAAACTGCAAAAACAAACACATACAAAGCACATGACTGTCACACCGGAGACCAGGTTCACATCCAGAGTCCCATCTGTGGTTTAGGCAACAACAGATCTTTGGTTAAGATCAGTGGAAGATGGTGGTGTTGGTTATATGTAAATAAACAGGTTTTGTCTGAAATCACTGTGACCTGTTTCTGTAGTAAACCAGACCAGGGTCTGTCCCTAACCTGAACCAGGAGCTGTGAGTCTGAAGAGAACCAGAAAACATACAGATGATTTGGTGGAAAACAAACACGTTGTCTATGAACATTGTACTAATATGTATTCTGCTAATTATGTAAATTAACAACAAATCCTCATTATGTGAATCTGGTCACAATTACATTTCCTACAAAACATGTTTGCTGTAATTGCTTGGAGACAAGGTTCACGTAATAAGAGTTAACTTGAATGAATCCATTTTGGACAGTCCATAATACTGACCATTTGTTAACTGTGGATAGAAAACAGCTCTCTGTCTACTCTAACCTTCTTTGTGATCACTCATTTTAAATGTTAGTAACAACTCTTCCAACCTGAACAACCACACAGATCGTTTCTTTCAGCACTGATACGACTCAGCAGTGTCTCCTGAAATAGCGCCCCTAGTGCTCCTACAGCAGCGTGCATATTCCGGACCTCGGTTGTCATGGTTACCATAATAAACACGCAACTGTACTGTGAGTGGTGTACCGATCATTGCTGCAGTTACTATAATAACGGTCATGCCTTGGTTAGGTTCAGGGTTAGGGTTGTGGTTTGGGTTAAGACACGTTATACTACGTCACCGCACTTTTCCCTTTGCTTCTGTCATAATTACTACGACCTAGCAACAAAATGTAACCATAGGTCATAAAACCCTGCTGCACAACAACCTATTGGCTCGTTTTTTACAGGAGGACAGTCTCGTACTGTACTGTGGTACTTAAATAACCTGGATTATTTTCACATGTAAACACAATTTTCAAAATCAGCTGGTTCAGGGTGGATGTAGTGTAGAATGATGTTGCTGTAGCAGAGCTGAAGAAAATAACGAATTGGGACTTTTCTTGGACTTGTCTTATTACACTTGACATATTGAGTCTTGACTGCCTTAGGACTGGATTGACTTGGAGATGTGAATGGTGAGGAGACTGAACCTCATATTAATAAATATTAGAAAATGACATCATCATTTTGGAGCAGTGCCAAAGTGGCATGAATAGCTGTAGCCTGACCTGAATGACTAACTGCTCATCTACCAGTCTGTGTTCTTCGATTCATCCTCTGTTTACAGTTAGTCATTTGAATTTCACTGATTCTCTTACAACTGAACAGATACAGTGAAACTGTGCTAGAAATGATTTCCATAGAACTCTACTAACTCTAGCTGTAGAGTTATATGTGATTCCTGAGGAACGAAAAATTATATTATATAATGCCACAAAATCATTCTGTTTATTTATCACTTTCTGACACTGACACAACAACACATCATCTTGTCTTCAATAAGGTGTGTGATTTAATTCATGAAGCCATCAGGTGCTCAATCATAAGTAAGAGATGCCTGGATTTTGCTAGCTGTGATTCAGTGGATGTAAACAGTGTAGTTTACTATCTTTCTACTTGAGGGTCAATTTAACCTAAACCATGGTAAAAGTTTGTGCTAGGGAATGCATTAAGTAAATGAGCTGTCCCCGCAGTGATACAGAAACAAACATGTATGTGTGTGTGTTTGTACTTCTATGTTTGTGAGGACCAGTTTGAGTTATAGATCTTACAGAGTGAAGATATTTTGATGTTATCAGTTATGAATTTGTTTTTCATGCTCCGCTCTCTAACTGTATTTTTGTATATCAAATTGAAATGTCCAGATACCACAGGGGTTAGGGTTAGGTGCGAGAATATGTCGGATGTTAGCTTCCTCAGAAATTAACTTTTGAAAAGTCATCATGGAGCAGAACAATTTGACTGAATGTCAGATGATGATATGAGACACGCTTGATACATTTGATAACGTGTGCATCTGATGATGTCTGATAACTGAAACCAGTAACCTATAACTTTCTTAACATTATTTTGGTGTGGAAATAGCCTCAAATCTCTCTCATTGTAGTCTAGAGAATAACTCATCAAGACCCATATTCTATTACGTTTAGTGAGAGATTTAATAAATACAAGTGTGATATGATGATATGATATTGAAGTAGACGAAGCCCTGGGGTCAGGCATTTAGTTGTGATGGTTAATGTGAGGGTAAGGGGCTGGGGAATGCATTATGTCAATGAGTGTCCTCAAAAAAACAGAAGTACAAGTTTGTTTGTGTGTATGTGTGTGTGTGTGTGTGTGTGTGTGTGTGTGTGTGTGTGTGTGTGTGTGTCCTAATTTAGCAAATTTGCATTGCCCTGAATGTGACAAGAGACAGTTTTATGCACGCCTGCTGTTTCCATCTAATGAATAAACAGTGAATACTAAGTACAAATCAGGATGTCATGTGAATGCAGTGTGTAAACAGCTTTCAGTGCTGTCTGTAGACTTACATCATAAGAAAACACTGATACTTTATTATCATTATAATGTGTATTGCATCTCTGCACACTCATGATGCATGGGGGTCCCACTTTCACTAATAAGCTCTATTACACTAATAGTGGTAAAAAAAATTAAAAAAAAGATTACCATGACGTTTCCTTGATTTTTAGTGTAAAGTTGTGGGTCTGTTACTACACTGACATTGGACTACACAAGTTGAATGGATTACTTCAACACTTCTAAGTATTAAACTAGACAACACAGCCACTGTACTGCTTATTATTAAAAATAACCAGTGCTGAATACAGATTTAGACTCAAGCATTTATATTTGGGTATACTTTTGATGCTATCACCATCACTGAAGACAGCACGAAGTGGAACTCATTAAAAAGAACTTATTTTAAACTTCAAATGAGCAATTACGTCAAACTATATGAAGGATCACAGAATAGTTTGTTCCATTTGTTCAAAACCCTTCAAGCATTACTGGCCCCAGGAGTATTCAGCGTTGTTTGTGGAATGAAGTGAAGAAGCTCTGAAGCTGTGAATGCTTTCAGTGTGGGTCAGTTTTAAGTGAAAATAGATCACATTAGCATTTCATTAATGTTTCTGTATAATCCTGAACACACAGTTAAGGGCTTATTTTCATAATTGAATGTTGGCATCTCTAGATATCACTCAATAACACTGAAGCCCTTTTATGATTTATAACCTGGTGATAGAGTTCCCTGGAAAGCTTTCTACCATTCCTGCACCACCTGAATTTGCCAAAATTAACTTCAGTGCACACTTGTCATTTGTGAGCAATACAGCTGTTTTCTCCACAGCTATGCCTGCCAGTTCTGAATTTTGTTTAATATTTCTGCCAAAATTTAGTCAAGGGACAAAAGCCGGGCCCAGACTACAGGGGTTTTAGACCAGTTTAACCCCAATTCCCCCCTACCAGATTACCTGGTAATGTGAGGGGTTAACGGATCCAATCTTAAACTTTCCAAACTACGTTGCAGACTCATAGGGGCCGCCCCAATGATATCAAACATGGATTTAGGAGTAAAAATCGGGATGATTACAATTATGGTTACTTCAGTCCCGTGCTCAACTCTGACATTAGCTAGCATACTACTGTTGACATATATTAAAATTTCACCTCCAGTTGTCACTGAAGAATATACGTCCAGTGTTGACCATTTTCTCATCCAGACTCGTTTAACCTTCTGCTTTTGTTTTTTCTGACTTCAAAGTATTACTAATGTTATACTAAGTTGTTGTACCACAGTCTCCATTTTGTTTACATCTGCTTACCCTTGACATCACGTGAGATGAGTTCACATGAGGTGGTGCATTGCTCCCTGATAGCCCCCTCTTGTGTGCATATTAGAGATTGGAGAGAAGTTTCTCCTTCTGTGCGTGAACTTGATTGAACTTGATTTCAAAATAATTTTGTAAAACTCCTGTAGTCTGAGCCCGGCTTAACCTGCTAACAAGTATGCCATAGTCAATCATATTTTTTCTCTATGCATAGTTGGTTGAATGTCACTGACTGAAATTTTTGTTATCTCTCCAGGCAACATCAACATTAAAGCAACTTGATGGAGAAAACTAGAGGAGTCCCTTTAAGATGACACGCACAGACCCGCCTGACATAATCGTATCAGCTGTGCATCGAGATATAAAAGTGATTCCCATTTCTTCACACTACAAGTCCTTGCAACCCTCCAAACAATGTGATTCTATAAATTACAGCACACTGGAGGACAGTAAGAGCAAAGTCAATAAGAGGCACTGCCGTACCTTTGACTATAAGTCATTGGAGTACCCAAAATCACACAAATACTCAATGGAGTCCCCATACAGAAAGTCTGATAGGCATGCAGCTAACCCAGATGTTGCCTGGAATGCATTGGGCCGCCAGCAGAGATACCGCTTTTCTGCTCCAGACATTTTTAGCCATAGGTTAACTCCTCAACCAGTGGCTGCTGATATGGCCAGTGAGATCACTGCCCCTGAACAAAAAAGAAGGACAAGGTCAAAAAGTGCCCCTCGGGTCCAGACCAGTCTCACCCCTGTGTCTTTTGAAGGGTCCTCATCTTCCGGGAGGAAGGGGAGGGAGTCCCAAAGGGCTCCAAGAGACTCTCGCTGGCGACCAGAAGTATCACCACGTAGGGAGTCATCCTATGCAGCAACTAGGGCTCACATGCATGAAGTACATCCCATTAAGTTGCAGCCTCAAGTGAGTGACAACAGTAGATATTCACCTCACTTTGCTGCTGATAATTCAGAGGATGGAGGGCTAGATAAACCAGCAACCAGCCCTCATGTCAGGTGTCGGGTGGACATCAAACCTGATGACGGAGCATTGCATCATTCAGGACGGAAACAGACTTCACCTCAAGTGGACATACCATGGCAGAGGCACCACAGTAGGAGTCTGACTGTTCCACGCCATTTCTCCTACTCTAGAACACCAACTCCCACTGACTCTTTAGGTACAGAGAGTCGGCAAACTTATCAATATTCCCGTAGCATGCCAAATAGTTACTTGCAACCAATGGAGATTCCCTTGCAAAGGATGCCTTCATCAAGTGAATACTATGGAAGGGAACGAAGAGCTCATTCTAGTCCTAATGTGCCAACCAAGTTCTTTTATGCAGACGACCCAGGGAGATATGTCACTACTGCTCCTCCTCAACCAAGTTCTTACTTTCATGATGAACGTTACACACCGGGACAAACATATACTCCAAAAGTGCAATATGTGCAAGATCCAAGGACTCGAGTGGTGCAAGCTGTAGCTACAAGACCCTATTATCCTGAGATGGAGCCCTATCCATACCCTGTGCAGACAGGATATCCCAAACCCTATACAGCAACTGAACCAGGGCCGTACATCATACAGACACCTCCAACTAGAATATTTTATGGGGATGATCCCAGGTCTTATCAAATCCAGACTGCTCCGCCAAGGTTTTATTATTCCAGTGATATGTATGCAATGCCACCTGAGCACCATATCCCAGCAAGGGCATATTACACAGAGGGCCGAAGACATGCTAGAGTTATTCAGGCACAAACAGATGACTGGTATGGCTCAGATGCTTCTGGTTATTCCACCAATCCTGCCTCTTATGTATCTCAAGTCACTCCAACCAGAGTCCGGCAAGAGCCTGGCTTAACAACCTGGTATGCCAACCCATGTGTAGAACCTCAAAGAATTGGCACAGATTCTAAATCTTACTCCAGGTCCTGGGACAATATTCTCAACTCTCGTGTAGAGAGAGAACAACCTCTTCCTGTACAGCGGGGTCAGAGCTATGATGATCTTCTTGACTCCAGGAAGCCTGCAGCAGCCACAGGTGACAAACCACAACCAGTGGTAGTCAATCTCTCCAGTTCGCCAAGACGCTATGCAGCCTTATCAATGTCTGATAATTCACTAATTGACAAAAGCCCAACAGAGATGTCAAAGAGCACTGCTAGTAAACTCTGGTTTGTTACCCCTGAGATAACAATAACTGATAATGACATTCGACCAGGGAACCTTAATAAGGCTGAAGGACGGTCTGCTAGTTGGGACATCCTTGACTCCAGAAGTACTGAGGGTCCAGAACTGTCTCATTGTGACTTTGAAACCTCAACCAAAGAGAAGACACATGACAACGCCTCACTACAGCAAAGCTTAGAACAACTTGATGAGCTTCTGGCAGATCTTGTGACTGACTACAAGCCGCCTAGTAGAAGGGCAAGTGAGGACATTCTGGATCAACTAAAGAAGTTAATTGATGAGGAAGAAGCTGTATCTCTGTCCAGAAAGAGCTCAAGGGCAGGTACAGAGGAACCAGCTCCTCTTGACAAGCAACCAACCTCAATAAGAATGAATCCTGATGCTTTTCGAGATATGGATGGAGCTAGTGATGCAATGAAGAGTGCAGATGAGTGCTCCCCAGATCAGAGCCCTGATGAGGACGACACAATGATGTGCTCCAACAACAAATGTCGGAGGACAGAGACCCTATTCAATGCTTGCCTATATTTTAAATCCTGCCACAGCTGCTACACCTACTACTGTTCTCGTAACTGTCGCAGGGAGGACTGGGACATTCATAAAGAAAGCTGCTTATATGGAAGAATTGGCAGCACATGCCGTCACATCATCAAACACTGCCGGGAGACTGTTGAAGTCCACAAAGCCTTCTCCCGTATTGCCAAAGTTGGGTACCTTTCTCGAGGTAGAGGAGTTCTCTTCCTTGGTTTTCCAAACCCTGCGTCATCCAGTAATTTCCTGCAGTATGGCCTGGATAGTCTACTTATGTCTCCTACATACCTGTCCCTTCGAGAGCTTGAAAGCTTCAAGGACAACCTAGGGGAGTATTGTAAGGAGCTGCAGGAAGCTGGCAAAGAGTATGACCCAAACGAATGTTTCATCTTGAATGTATCGATTGCTGTTGGAGACCAACTGCCTGATGGGCCATCACCAAGGAACCAAGCTCCAACTGTCAGAAAATATGCAAAGGTTGCCCTGGCTTCCTTCAGCCCTGAGAGAAAGGTTCAGAAGAAAGAGAGTGACATGGAAACGCTGATCCTCACTCCACCACCAGGAACAGCAGACATCGACAAAGAAGGAGAGGAAGGCAGGAAGGCCAGGGAAATCTGTTTTATCAATATACAACGAGAGTTACGAATTCGAGGGGTTTTCCTACGGCACGAATACCCACAGGTGTATCAGCAGCTCTGTGAGTTTGTGGAAAGTAACAGAAGGTTCACACCCACAACTATTTATCCCATCGATAAGAGGACCGGTAAACAGTTTATGTGCATGATTATGGCTGCCTCTGAGCCCAGGACATTGGACTGGGTAGGCACCCCGCATCTCCTTGATGACATTATTTAAGTGCACCTTTTGTTGTAAATATATATGTATAAAAATACATATATATTGTTACACATATTTATATATCAATCCAATTACAAACATTTGTAGATAAGTATTTTGTTATCAAAATGATATATATTCATGTCTGCTTGGTCAGTATTATTCATTATCAGAATATTTCCTGTCAGGTGCTGAATGACTACAGTACATTATTTATTTTAATGTTTTTAACAAATACATACTTTTTATCCACCACAAGTCATTTATCTGTAACCTGGTCATGTACTGTTACAATACATTCCCTTTGGTTGGGATTCTCTAAGCTGACATGCTGGTTTTCAACTTATTAGCAACTACTGTTTGTTATTTGTAACTCAGCCTCTTTAAATGAGTCCATTTCTGTGCGTACAACATGACTATTTTTCATATACATACTTTAATGGTATACAGTGCATTCAGAAAGTCTTCAGACCCTTTCACTTTTTTCACAATTTGTTATGTTGCAGCTTTATGATACAATTGTTTAACTTCATTTTCCCCTCATCAATTCACACTCAATTCCCCATAATGACAAAGTGAAAACAGAATTTACACTTTACACAAATTTATTAAATTGGAAAAAACTGACATATCACATTGACATAAGTATTCAGACATTTTTTGCAACGACTAAAGCCTTGAGTCTTCTTGGGTCTGATGCAACAAGCTTTGCACATCTGGATTTAGGGATTTTCTGCCATTTCTCTGCAGATCCTCTCAGGCTCTGTCAGGTTGGATGGGGACCGTCAGTGAAAAGACATTTTCAGGTCTCTCCAGATGTTCAATTGGGTTCAAGTCAAGGCTTTGACTGGGCCCCTCAGAGTTGTCCTGAGCCACTCCTGCCATGAGGGACCAGGGGACATATCCAGCTCCAATATACAAAATAATTAAATTTTGACCTCTACTTTTGACACACTCTCTCTCTCTTTGCCCCTCTAATTTCTCAATGCACTGTATCTTTTAGAAAATATGAAAAGTATTTTCTTAACTACATAAATACTTTCTATGCAAAGTTGCTTCATGAGTTAGCACCACTTTCCTGTACAAGGAGTTGTTTCTGTTATTATATTATATTACATTATATTATATTATACACATCTATCTAAAGAAAGTTTTTGTCAAAATTCTGATAAAATGTTGAAACTTTTGGTTGCAACATGAATCCTCATCATAAGAAAATAATGAAAAACTGGAAAAGAGACAGTTCTACTTGAAACGTTATAAAAACAGGCACGAAATCTTCTTGTTGCTTAGGTAGGAGTACCATATTGAAAGATAACATTTTCTTCTTGACTGAGTCTAACGGCACAGTTTCAGAAAGGCTAATTGCAGTAGTTCTGTAATTCTGCTCTGAGGATCTGCTGGAGCCATGTTGGACTTGAAAGGAACCTTCAGAATGGAAATTGAAATGGTGCCAGTTACCAGCCACACAGTAGGTGTTGGCCTGTACTGTTCAGTTTTAAACACTGTGAAAAGTGAGAGTTATCTACTAAAAATCATGCAATTTCCTATAACACTGAAGTTGATGAGTTGTATTTTTAGATATATTTAAAAATAAAAATATATGAATTAGCAGCTGGAGTTATTGTCTTTAGAGCAAGGTTTGCCAGATTTGGCACAGTAGCTATATGGTACATAAATGCTTGAAGACGACATTAGTTGTGTATTTGTGCTGCACTAGGTTTATTATGTGTGATTTATACTGTCCTTTTTGGTTTTAGCAAATCGGAACCATTATATTGCTCATTGGTTGCAGAGGTTTTAGAAAGATTTATCAATGCAACTCAGCCGTGTTGCCTCATTCTTTCTTTACATTTGTTCATTTTGTTTTCGTAGCGTCCTAAATCACAGATTTCCTGCTAGCATACTGATGATGATGAATTTTAGAAACGCAACAGTCTAGCTGGAACATATTGTATGTTTGAAATTATATAAATTATTTAAACTGACCCCATTTGACAAATGACTGAACATATGTGGAAGATGTGACGGAGCATTTGTCAATCAGTCCTCATTACTTAAAAGTCGAATAAGCTGTTTTCTCACAGTCATTAATCATTCTTATCCATTTAAACCTTTTTTTCTTTCGAAATCAGATTTCCTCAAAGTTTTCAAAGTCAAATGAAACTTGAAGCACATACGGTGAGGTCACTGTTTGGCTGACAGGATGTGCTGTACAGAGAAAAGTCGCTGGCTGCATGTGATTCTGTTTTCTATGCTCTGATCTTATTTAACATGACACTGATGATAGTAACTTGCTCGATGAATGGATTTGTGAAAGTGAAAACTACTATGCTGTGTAAGAAAAAACAAATGAATTTTTCATTTTTGTCAGTCGTTCAAATTATAATAACATGTCAAAGGCAATGAAGAAGAGACCTCACTAACATGTCGAGAAAATCCTGTAATCTTGTATTTTTTATACTTTCAACATATGTGTCTCAGTGTGTCTATTTATAAAGCATATCTAATAAATGGAATGGGAACTCTGGGTTCTGTCGTCTGCCTGTTCTTTAGGTGAAGTCTGTGCTTATAAACAGGACAGTGTCACAGGGGAGAGATGTAATGTTTGTAACCTGTTTGGCTTGATGATATAAAATGTAATAATGAAATATGAATATATTAAAATATACAATATATAATATTAAAATATAATTTGTATTTTTAGAAAAAGAATTTGGTAATACTTTATGATTTATTGGTGTAATCATCAAAATTAAATGTTCACAATAAAGAGCAAAACCCATACATGATATATTTTATTATATGCTACACAATAAAATTTATTTGATTCACAATGCAAAGTATAAATCTGATTAATGGGACATTTTGGCAGGTTTTCATTTAAAGCTCTAGAAAAAGTTAGTGAGTAAACTTTGAATTTAGGACATTTCACCACAAAAACATATAAAATACATGGTTTTATTATTCATAGTTTTACCAGCTGAGATACATATATAAACTTCATCCACAAAGCGTTACTAGAGGTTATTAAAGTCAAAAGGCTTCGTCTCCTTGAGACATGAACTTTTTCAGCAAATGTGGTGGAAATCTGCATTTTAGATTATAATGATTTTCATTTTTCTAGAAAAGGATGCCAAAGGTTGGCTTAAGAGTTGGTTAAGGCTATGAGGGCAGTCTCAGCGCCCAGCCCCTCACTGATGTCCCGTGTCCGCTGAACAGTGTCGGTGAAACACCGACTTTACATGTGAAACTGCTTTATTCAGCATTTTTAACGGTTAGAATCAGCTGGTCTGTTTGTTATGGAGAGGAGGAGACCTCTGTGGATAATTCAGCTGCTGGTAAAAACCTGCTGAACCACTGACACTGAAGGAATCAGGAGAAGCTTACGGTAATGGTAGTGAAGAAAACAACTCCCATGATCCCACACTACTATACAATGTCACCAAACACCACAAAATACATACTGTGCATTTAAGGCATGTGGTAGATAAACATGAGGGTTAAAAAGTGCCATGGTGGACAGGGCAGGGTGGACCACTCATCCTCATGATCAGAGGTGTAGATATAGATATAGATATAGATATAGGTATAGATATAGATATAGGGGTAGACATAGATATAGATATAGATGTAGATATAGACATAGATAGAGGTGTAGGTATCGATATAGGTGTAGATATAGATGTAGATATAGGTGTAGACATAGATATAGATATAGGTGTAGATATAGATATAGATATACAGTAGGTGTAGATATAGATATAGGTGTAGACATAGATATAGATATAGTTGTAGATATAGATATAGGTGTAGACATAGATATAGATAGATGTAGATATAGGTGTAGACATAGATATAGATATAGATGTAGATATAGATATAGGTGTAGACATAGATATACTGTAGATATACAGTAGGTGTAGATATAGATATAGGTGTAGACATAGATATAGATGTAGATATAGATATACTATAGGTGTAGATATAGATATAGGTACAGATATAGATATAGGTGTAGACATATATATATATATAGATGTAGATATAGATATATGTGTAGATATAGATATACAGTAGGTGTAGATATAGATATAGTTGTAGATATAGATATAGGTGTAGATATAGACATAGATGTAGATATAGATATACAGTAGGTGTAGATATAGGTATAGGTATAGATATAGGTGCAGATATAGATATAGGTGTAGACATAGATATAGATGTAGATATAGATATACAGTAGGTGTAGATATAGATATAGATATAGGTACAGATATAGGTACAGATATAGAAATAGGTGTAGACATAGATATACAGTAGGTGTAGATATAGATATAGGTGTAGACATAGATATAGATATAGATGTAGATATAGATATAGGTGTAGATATAGATGTAGATATAGATATACAGTAGGTGTAGATATAGATATAGGTACAGATATAGATATAGGTGTAGACATAGATATAGATAGATATAGATGTAGATATAGATATAGGTGTAGACATAGATATAGTAGATATACAGTAAGTGTAGGTATAGATATAGATATATAGTTGTAGATATAGATATAGGTGTAGATATAGATGTAGAGATAGATATACAGTAGGTGAAGATATAGGTATAGATATAGGTACAGATATAGATATAAATGTAGAGATAGATATACAGTAGGTGTAGATATAGGTATAGATATAGGTATAGATATAGGTGTAGACATAGATATACTGTAGATATAGATATAGGTGTAGATATAGATGTAGATATACTGTAGATATAGATATAGGAGTAGATATAGATATAGGTATAGGTGTAGACATAGATATAGATATAGATGTAGATATAGATATAGGTGTAGATATAGATGTAGATATAGATATACAGTAGGTGTAGATATAGATATAGGTACAGATATAGATATAGGTGTAGACATAGATATAGATAGATATAGATGTAGATATAGATATAGGTGTAGACATAGATATAGTAGATATACAGTAAGTGTAGGTATAGATATAGATATATAGTTGTAGATATAGATATAGGTGTAGATATAGATGTAGAGATAGATATACAGTAGGTGAAGATATAGGTATAGATATAGGTACAGATATAGATATAAATGTAGAGATAGATATACAGTAGGTGTAGATATAGGTATAGATATAGGTATAGATATAGGTGTAGACATAGATATACTGTAGATATAGATATAGGTGTAGATATAGATGTAGATATACTGTAGATATAGATATAGGAGTAGATATAGATATAGGTATAGGTGTAGACATAGATATAGATATAGATGTAGATATAGATATAGGTGTAGATATAGATGTAGATATAGATATACAGTAGGTGTAGATATAGATATAGGTACAGATATAGATATAGGTGTAGACATAGATATAGATAGATATAGATGTAGATATAGCTATACAGTAGATATACAGTAGGTGTAGGTATAGATATAGATATATAGTTGTAGATATAGATAT